TTCTGTCTCTTTGTGTGGTTTATCTACAAATGTCCTATCTACTTGTTTTTTGCTTTCATTTTTCTGCTTTCATTTTATTTTTAGATATTCAAAATGCTTAAAACATAAGCAGCCTATTCTGTGGGGGCTAATCTTGTTAAAACTTGACTTCAGAGGCTGCCAGGGTACTTTGTGAGAAGCAAAATGAGGTACCTTTTGATCCCTCTCACATTGCTTATATCCAGTGAAGAAAAAATGCTCCAGAAAGTAGTATACATTTGATGTTTTGTGTAGTGAAGATGACCTTAGCAATTGCTTCCTTGCTTTGTATCTTCAGTCATCTCACAGATGGGCACAATTGAGAACAGAAGGCATTACCAGGGAATCTTGATGGTTATCTCTCATTACATGTAAAGGAGTTAGAGCTGACTATTGAAAAATCCTACCTCTTTATCTAGACCAGCCAAAACACAGACAACTTTAATGCATGCCTCATGTAACGTTTTGTCAATTTACTATGAATCTGGTAGAAGACAACTTGGTTTAGCCATGAAAAGGCATTTCTGTTTCTGTGCTCGGACAGCTCATTTGATGCTGCCAGAAGGAATAGATCCAGATGGATACAGATGACAGTTTTCCTGAGATCGATGCAGAAACTATTAAGTGAGAAGATTTATTTCTCATATCTAGGCAGGGACAGGGATTGAGTCTATGGTCTTGAGGTGGATGAGTTGTTATTTTGTGACCCTCAGATCATCCAAGGTTTCCCGTTGACCTGTCAGGAATGAGGAATATTCAATGACATAAAAAGCACGGCTATCAACAATGCAGGGGATAATAAGGCAAAAGCATTACAGTTCATCAATAGAATACTGTATAAATATAAAACCCTCTTGAATAGTTTCTGTACAAGGTTATCCAGTCACTATATTCCACATTTGTAAGTTATTGTGTGTTTAAAAAATTAATGAAAGATATAATTATAACAGCATTACCAATGACCTTTTCCAAAATGACTCCATCATGAATCTGTAAGCATTTCAGAATTGTTTTTCAGGTTCCTAGTAATTTTGCTGCAAATTAATGACATCAAGCTCTGGCAATAAAAGCCTTGCCTTGTTTCTCAAAAGAAGAGATTGGGAAGAATTTTCTGGTCTCCTAGCAATGGCTTTACTGTGAGTGGTGCATAGATCCAGTTGAGAAGATGCCTGTCCTTAGAGGAGGACAGGCTGAGATTTTATGTGGAGTTTTGACTGCTTACTGTAAGGGACAGAACAAAATCTACCCTGACTAATGTCAGTAAACTGCCATTCTATGGCTTAGTTTGGAGAAACTTTTTAAAATTGAGCTTACTCAGAAAACTGACTGTCCAAATGCCATCTGGATTCTTGTATTTGTTGCTTCTCAAGGGCTTCCAGGTCAGACTACAAATATTGGAAAAAACCAAACCATTATCTTTGCAGTGTAAGACCTTGAAAACCCATCTCCTTTCTTTTGTCTTCTGCTCTTGCAATGAGCTTTCAGGAGCTCTCAGTCAGACCATGGCAGGCAAGGTTATTGAGGCAAAATTCATAGTACGTTATGTTTGCTTTTCCTCTCTGTCATCTTGATAGTTTGGTTATATTTAGGAGAAAAAAAAAAAGTCCCTAATTTAGTAAACAAAGTAAATGAGAAACTAAGATGCATAAGGCATTGGATAAGATAAATGAAATTGTATCTTTGGATCAATGTGATGATTTACTGCTTTGGGGGTGGGAGGGGAGAATAAATTCCCACCAGCCCTTTTTCAGTTTCTCTCCTTGAGTGATTGAGACTTGTTTTATTTCTAAAAGTGAGTGGTTCAAAAGTAAGAAAAAACACACCATACAGCTGAGGTAATGAGTGTGTAAGATTTTTCTGTCCTCAACCAAAGAGAAGTGGCCTGTATGCTGTCTCCTGTCCTGCCTTTTACAGCTCTTCCAAAATCAGCTGTGCTGCATAAAGAAATCTAAATATACCTACCAAAACACTTAATGCTGAGTACTTTTGACATTTTAACTCAGCAGTTTAAGATGTTGGAACTCTGTGCTATCTACCCAGCCTTCTTGGATGGGCTGGGTGACCCCAAAACAGAGATCGTGGAGGGGAACAGGTGGATGCACCTTGAATCACTTTGGTAAAATATCCAGTGATATAGTTCACAAGACTAATAAAGGTAGACTTCAGCTGTAACATGCAGTCAGAATTTGTTCCCTTTGATGGTTTGTTTATCTTAGTTCTAATGCCAAAAAAAAAGATGAAAGTTTTCATCGCTTTCCAGAAAAAGCTGTTTGGGAGTTCAGTGGAGCTCCACAGATAACAGATCTCCTTTCCGTTTGTTAAATTTGCTTACTTTCATAGATCTTTCAAACTTTCATATTTTCAGTGTTAAAATGCAATGTAGCCTTTGTCATTGGCTCATCTCTCCAACTGAAAAGTACCGTAGGCATCTGGGTTGTTTGACCAGTGAGCCCTGTTCACGGAGTACAGCTGCTTGCTGGGTGCTCTACATATGTGCAGTTCTTCACTCTAAAGCCTGCACTGAATGATGGATCAGGCTTAAGAAGCTTTTTATTAGCAGGAGAGGAAAAAGTTGCCACTTCAGGAATCAAGTGACCCAGAACCATCTCTGCAGCACAGAGAAAAACATCCCTCTCTGTTCACACTCCTCTAATTACATTTAGAGTAGTATTGTTTCCATCTAAATTATAGCAATTATATACAAAGATCTTCTTTGAAATCATTTAATTAAAGAGTAGCTAATGCTCTGTGCTTTTGGAATGCTAATATATAGCCTTCCACTTAGGAATCGTTGTTTTTTTCCATTAATTATTGTTATCACGGAAGAATTTCAGTGGCAGAGGATTTTTAGCTTGCTCTAACAGATTTAAAAAGCAAGGGTTCCGGTGCTTTTAGTAGCTTGATTTTTGTAGCACAAAGAAGCATTTTACTTTCTTTCTTGAACAGTTAGTTAAGGTTCACTCCTAGGAACGTTTTCCTTCAGATGGTGACAAAGTGTTGGTTTTCTCTAACTGTTATCTTTTGGGTTCAGGCAAATGTTTGTATGTTCTCCCTTCCCCTTGCTCTGTCTTCTATGTTACGCACACACAGGTCAAATCCTGAACTGATATAAACCTGCTGGGCTAAATGATTTCAGTTTGCTGAGTTGCTACTTTGCAGGAATGACATTTCAGTCATGCGTCAAACAAGATTCATGGGAGAGCTGCCCAGTTGTGCAATAATACCATGACCAGATGAGCACCCTAAAGAGCATGGAGTGAAAGCAGTTGTGGCATAAGAGCTGGTGGGATTTATCCAGTAACAAGGCAAAGTCATGATTTGTCCTGAAGTTAGTAGTCTAGGCAGTGAGGTGAGAGCAAAGCCAGAAACAGTGAGTGATTACAGTGAAAATTCTGGGAAACTGGAGTAACACTGGGGTCACAGCAGAATCTGGATTGCAGATCTGGAAACTCAGGATAATTTTTTTCTTTTGCCTCACTTTCATAGGGAATTTTGTAAATCATCTGTATCTCTCAATCTTTCTTTTCTAGTCTGGAATAATTAAAATAATAAAAACTTTAATTCTTGTAAGTGGCTTGGTTGAAAGTGTAGATTAGTGGAAGATACATGAAATAACATATAGGAATATATGTAATGAAAAAAATGCTTTTACTCTGCCTTCTGATTTTTGCTGTAAGAGTGATATGATGCCATTGCTGAATGACTGTCAAAAAAGATTTCAGTTTCATATACACGGAATCTTTTAATACAGAACTCATATTTTGGATAAGTAATGACAATGAGTTTTTAGGTTCTTTTATGTATTCATTGAACATGACCAAGACATTTTGTTCTAATGACAAATCAACATAATCGTTGTGGGGTTTTTTTGTTCTGTTTTTAATGTGCTCTCCCAGCCAATGAATATGTGTACTGTTGTATTATGACTTTTAAAGTCTGGTCACCTTTATCCCTGCCCTGATCTCCTCCTATTACATACTTCTCTGGAAATCCAGCTGCAGTTGTTTGAAAAACTGCTTCTTACTGAGAAAACCATGGCTGACCAAGGGAATAGGAAAATTCCCTTAGTCTTTGGGATGATGGTGGTTTGGTGATGTGTACCACCAGTGCTCATCATTGCTTTGATCCTTCTTTTCTAGAAACTTAAGATACTAGATATAGTTTCCCCTGCAGATGAAGGAGGATTGTGTAGGTGGGAAGGGATTTAGAGAGATCTGTGTTTGATAACTGTCTCTACTGCCAACATGCCAGCAAGGTCCAAACTTGGGCTCCAATGCTATTTAATTTCATATGATCACTTTCATGATCCTATTTGTAACTGGTCTGTGCTTTGGTTACAAATTACAGTGAGTCCTTTCCCCTTTGTTTCTGAGTGCTGACCCATCAGCTCCAACAGCTTGTCTCAGCATGAGCCTTGAGGTCTCCTGGAGTTGTGTGGGAAATATGTTGTTTTCATCCTGAAAATCAACTTATTACTCACTTTATTGAACTGTGGACTGTGGTCACTGACTGCTGATGATGCATGACCTACTCAAAAGAATTAAAAAGAAGCTCAACTGATAACCTTACAGTGGTGACACTTTATAATCCCACTCCTACTAGTTGTAGAAGTGCTTTTTTTAAAAAATGTTGCATTTACAAGTTAGAAGGGAGGCTGCCATCTTTACAGGTTTCTTGCCTACAGTCCCAAATGTTATATCAGGTGTATCTTTTACAATTCGGAAGTAGTAAGTTTGTGCAACCAGGCAGCTGAGCAGTGAAGAGACTGATTAAACGAAGAAAAGGATTGATTTTGAGGCAGACAAAATAGATATATTCATCAGAGTAGCTCCCTCCCATTTTTTTAGATGCATAACTTTCTAGTGTGGCTCTTTACTGTTCTGAGCGATACCTAGATGTTTGCATTAGACTCAAAGCTCGTTGTGCTTAGTGGAAGAATATCCCTGCCTGATTATGGTTCTTTCTTTTTCCCTCTCTCTTAGAATTTTTGGTCACTTCAGTCTCCGTTCTGAATGGCAGCTGGTCAAGGTGGACTACAAGCCTATCTTCAGCCGGAAGTGTAACAAAGATGACTACCAAACCTGGCATTTGCACAATCAGGTACTCTGACTGTATAGGGAGGAGATGGGGGGGGGGTTCCTTTTCTGTTACCCTGTGTTTATATATATGTTCTTTTCAGCAGAGCATGTTTTTTACATACATCAAGTCACAATTCTAACCTGTTGATGCTTTATTTCCCCTGAAATATACACATAAATAAACATGGGGTCAGTCTTCTCCAAGCAAGTTTGAGAAGTTGTTAACTTCTCTCTGTATGAAAATATTCCGTTTTACCAGATGGATCTTTCTGCCCTTGGTGCTCGTGACAATGTAAAACCTCACCTTGTGATTGAATTGTAGAAGACATTGAACTCCTTGTAGCTCTATCAGTGACTCAGAAAAATAATTTTCTTTCACTTTGCCTCTATTTTCCATACTCAAACATGAAAATAAAAACATTTATTCATCTTTCAGGTCCTGCAGATGTATATAAAGCTCTGGGGAGTCCTTGAATAAAAGCCACTAGAGAAAACCAAATTATTTTATTTTATTCAATGATACATACTTTTCTTTTCATACATTCTGTCTTATTTTTGTACTGGATATACTTGGATCCTAAAGCTGCTTGAACTGAAGGAGTGCAATATCCTCTGAAGATTCATTATAGGTTATGGGCTACCAGTATGATGTCCCACTCCCTGCAGGGGAACTAAAGTGAAGCCAGAACTACTGGCACTGTGATTTTCCTGTATGAAACCCATGAATTAGAAATGAACATTAATAAGGCAAGGATGTATCAGATGACTAAAGTTATAGAAGAGAATACATGAAAGAAATTTAAATGAAAGAAAAGGAAGGACGTGTGTGGTCAGGCAACCATCTTGGGAATCGCTATTAGTGGGAAAGAGAAATATTTCAATTAGACGCTGACTTTTTATTCTTACTTTTATGTAGATAAATTATTTCTGCCTCAGAGAAAATTCTGCTTGTAACAACTCCCCAAAATGTCAAACGTTTCTTTTAGATAAGCTATTCACAGTAGTGCTCTTGAAAAACTTTGTGTGCACAAAACCAAACGTAACATGTCATCAAAATTACTTGAAGCCTGTAGTGAAGCCAAGTCTACCAAAGAAAGAAGAGGGGAGCCAGACTCCTGAAACTGACACTTGATTTTGGGTTTCAGGCTCAAGCAATTCTTCCCATTATCAGTGTTATCTGACATGTAGAAGAAACCTAGAGGTTCGTTCCCATTTCTTCTCAGGATAATTCATAGGACTAAAGCTGTAGTGGGTGCCTTCTGAAATATGACATGACCAGGTGATGGCTTGCATACTCAGGCATTATGGGTGCACTGTGGCTAGCATCCCAACTCAAGTGCTGAACACAGTGCTTGTGGGTACTCCCAAGGTGCTTTTTGAGTTTGCAGTCAAGAGTCATGACAGGCAGCTAGACTCTAAGCTCTCAACTCTCCCTGTGGTAAATGCATACTTTTGTTGTCTTTTGTTTCCTTGTAAAATGCATGGTTTAGGGCCCAGGTGCTACTACAACTCTCTGTTTTTCTTTCTCCTCCTTATCCTTGCCAAAGGGGGAACCTTGTGTCATGGGTGAGAGGAAGATCTATAAAAAACGCAAGCCTGGATCTCAGTGTTCCCTGGGTCGAGACTATTCCCAAACTGTGGTGTCTGAACCATGTATCTGTGGTCAAGGGGACTTTGAATGGTGAGTGTGTAATTTTGGTAAATTTTGCAGAGCTTCTTTCTGTAGCATTGGCAGTGTTTGAACTACCGTCTGAACAGAGAACCTGATGGGGAAACTGGGTCTCATGCAGCTTTGTGAATTTGACTGCACCACGTAGCATAAATGTGATCCTTATATCTGCCATGTGAGAGATGCGTCCCTATTGTTTGCAGGGGATTTTTGTTAATCTCTGTGAGAAATCCAAGCCTGGAATTCAGAAGCAGAAAAATGTGAGTACTGATTGACATTCTTACGTCCATCGTTTTTAAAAGAGTGACAGTCAGGACTATTCTCTTTGGTCCAAAGCATGTCCTTTATAGTAGGAAAAGGGAATTTTCTCTATACTCACTTCAAAGGTCATTGAATACCTTGGGAGCAAGCTAGCAAAACTTACACATTTTAGATTATGATCCCTTTGAATTCTGGGGAACAATTTGTTGTTTTTTTAGCAGTGTTTTACTGATAAATCTCAGAAAATGCCTCAGTGATGTGACTGCACAGCCCACCCTTATCTTGTTTTGCATAAATACTGGTATTTCTAATTTTGGGGGGCTTTTATTTCTGAACTGCTGTAAGGTCATTTTGAAAGCAGCTTTAAAATATAAACAGAGAAAGAACTGCTCTTTGATACTGCTTGTATGCTTGTATGCTCAGGGACAGGAGTTAGAGAAATATGTAACAGTCCAGGATTTCTGTACAAGGGTATCCTATGGGGAACCCATGATAGGCAATACTTGAAGGATTTAAGACTGTCAGTAGCTGTGATGTCTGAGCCTACATGATCAGAACATCATTTAAATGAGGTTGAAAATAACCCTGAGAAAACTGATTTTCATTTTTATAGCAGTTTATCAGAATCAGTCTGATTTAGTATCAGTGTGATTCATGAAAACTTCACTTATCTTTGAATGCAGCCTGAAGAAATGTGAGGCACAAGGTCTGCACACTTATTTGGACCTAGGCTAGCTGAGACTCCTTTCTTTTCAGATTGTGAACACACTGAAATACAGAAAAAATGAATAAAAATACAGACAAGAGTGATTTATTGAATATTGGAGTAGTTTGTCTCTGTAAGATGTTCAGGGAAATAGAGCAGAGATTTTCATCTTATCTGGATGGATGCTTAATTTGTTCCTGATGCCAAAATTACATCTGAGACTCCTTAGCTTGACTCAGGAGATCTTTCCCTTTGTTCTCATCCTGAGAACTTACAGGATGAACAAAGTATCTTGCCCTGCAGTATCTGCCCTTGGCATTGGCATATGCCTCTGAGCCGCACCAAGCACTAATCTCTGGAGAGGCTTATGAGTTTGCTCTTTGCTTTGTGCCTCGCCAGCTTTATAATTTCACAGTGAAGCTTATATTTTCTAAGCTGAAGTGGAAAACTGCAGTAGCTAAATTGGCCTTAAATGCTGTTCTGCCTCAAAAAGTGTTTGCATCAGAATGCACCTTTTTGTTTAATTGACCTGATCCTTGCATGCGTTTGGTATAATTTTTGCTTAATTTTCCCACTAACATGAGAGAATATTGCTGTTAACCTTGCCAGTCCTGCATAGGAGATATAGTTAGAGGACAGCAAGCTGCTTTTTGTTTCAGACTCTGCATTGCCAACTAACTTCTAATTGTATATTTGTCTCCATTGCTAATGGAGAATCAGAAGGACTAGCTTTGCATTAAGGGTAAGATTTGATGCTAGTTTTTAAGGGCTGATTGGAAGAAGGTGGGGCAACTGTAGTGAAAAAAAGAGAAAAATCAACCTAAATGTGCTAATAGAGTTGTTAATGGGGTGTTAACCTCAATTTATCTTAAAGACGATTTTCAAAGAGGAGAGGCATACTCATCTGCTCTGACTCTTGACTTCTAAGGGATGAGGTAGTCCTTTAGTGCATGACAAGACACACATTATTCTAGGATATGATTCATCAGCCTTCTTTTGGATGTTCACATGAGAATGGCAGATACTGAGGAGCACCTCTTCTCTTTGCTGACTAGAAGAAGTCTCTATACGGGGGTTCTGATAGAGATATGCCTCCACTGTACATACCTACAGATGGAGAAACCGCTCCTACTCTTTCAGTTGGTGCTTTTGAAAAGGAAGATATCTACTAAACCTGTCTGGTTAGGTTTGCAATCATCAGTTGTTCTTGGATATGCCAACTGGTTTCTCTTATCTGTGAACTGAGCGCATCCCATGGAAAGGCAGAGAAAGGAGAGGGACTGACAGCCTGTGTTGTGTGAGTACAGTGACCAGCAGGTCCTAAAAGACTGACTCCAGTCTTCTCCAGTAAGTAATTTTGGAGGCTTGTTCTATTTAAGGAGCATCCCACACTACGAGGTTTGATCACGCCTGTCTTTGAGAGCTGTGCGGAAGGAACAAATGTCTGTAGGAGCCCTACAGCACAAGCTGTGACAACTATTCTCCTTCTCATTTGGTCATAGAGCCTTTGCCCCTGTCTGCCTCATCTTGCAGTGATATCAGTTTCCTGCTGTTAGTTATGAGGCTAATCTGAATTTCAGGGGCATAAACTGTAATCCGGGGTCACAATTCAACAAATACTCACAAGTCAAGGTCAGGGGTGATTTCTTCCAACCCTCACCATCATTTTAAAAATAAAAGCTTGGCCATTTTTGACAGAGAATGGCAGAATGAATTCAGAAGTGTTATTAAAATGCTTACTGATCTTTCTTTTCCCTCTTCCTGCTTCTTTATTTACTCTGTCAAGATAGCTTTCCTGAGAACGACAGCACAGCAGCTGGACTTGATTATTTCTTTAACTTATGCAAACCCTGGGGCTCATGAGAAGGAAGGTGGGCAGCACGCAAGGTTTTAATATACATTTACCAGAAGTTAATGAACAAGCACAGAACCTTAAGGGCATACAGCAATGTTGTCTTTAATTTTATTAAATATTTATGCAGTTCTTTTCTTCTTTGGGGCAAAGTACAGCTCCTCCTGAATATTTTTAATTACCAAGTCACTGCCAGGCATTTTTGACTGTGCAGGTCGGACCCACTGAGAATGATTAAATTGAATGTTGAGGGAAAGAACATTAGGGAATCTCTGAACCTTTTAAAGTAGCTTGCAGAATTTTTGCCCTCCAAAAAGGAAAGTAGCATCTGGGGTCACTGGAGACATAACACAATTTTGTCTCACCAAAGCTCCTCCTGGAGACATTCTGCTGGCAATTCAGACCCTGAACAGGGGAAGGGATAAAGCCCAGAGTGTCCTAAAGTGCTTAGAGTGTTTTCAAGGCAGTGACTTCTGCAATGTCTGTGTTTCCACATAGGTTTAATTTGTTGGCATTTGTTAACCTGCTTCAGGCGAAAATCTAGATTCCATTTTTATTTACCCCTTGAATCCAGCCTGCCAATAAAGGATATGCATACAAACTCGATTGAGAGCCTATTAAAGCTTGTGGAAAGCTTTGGATTAATCCCATTGCTTCATCATTGTTATTGGCATGCAAAGGAAGCTGTAAAAATAGTCTTAAATGCAATTACACATGCTTCTACTCTTTGGTAATCTAAGGAAGCATCAGTACTCTGGATTACTTCCTCACTTAACACAATACTGTGTAATCCTTCGATACCGTATTGTCCGTGCTGTTTTAATTTAGGGTTGGAAAAACATAAGCTATTTTTTTAATAGGCCAGCCTTAGCTTGGTCAAAGAGCCATTAACGTACATGTTTATAGACCTACCTAAGCTAGTTGTTCAAGAAATGTTCCTACTGTTTCATATTCCAAAGTACTTCCTTGTGAAGAAGTATCATCATTGTGGAGTTAGTCTGAATTTCTCTAAAAGCAAAGACTGTAAAAAGCATGTGAGCCAAAAGAATCCAGCAAATATGATGATTATTAATTAATGGGGAAAAAAATTAGCGATATTATTTTTCTTCTGAATCCTTGTTCATGTTTTGATGCCAACAGAAACAAAAGTTCTCTGGTGTTCTGCAATGTTGGTAGTTCTGATGTTGTCAGGTTTCACAAACTAATCAGGCACTTTGTCTCGAAATGATCCTAATCCGCAATGCTGTGCCATCCAGACCTGCCAACACACACACTGGGGAGCAAAGCATTGCTTAAAGGTGAGCTAAATCCAGTGAATAGGAACAGAAATACACTCATGACTTATTGTCTCCATAGTGACTACGGCTATGAGAGGCACAACAACAACCAGTGTATCCCAGCCTTCTGGTTCAGTCCGTCCTCCCTGTCCAAGGACTGCAGCATTGGTCAAAGCTATCTGAACAGCACTGGGTAAGTGAACATTGACAGTTTTCTGGTTTTGGTAGACAAGAGAACCTGGTCTGACCTTTTTCTCCACATTCTGCTTGGCTGTTGTCCAATCTTATTTGTGTGGTAATGTTTGCAGCTGCGTCTGTATGGAACATTGCCTCATTCTTCAGAGACAGGGAGAAGAACATTAACATAAGTGACATGTAGATATTGTATTGCTATCAAGTGATATGTAATCCTTGGAGCCTAGACTTTTGAAGCTCCTCTGCTTCAAAATTAAAACACGAATCCAGAAGGTGCATCTAAGAGAAAGCTGAACATTTAAAAGAGCAGGTTCATGGTATTTCACCCTATATTTCATTGAAGCTCTTTCTTTTTTTAAAGCTCGTATTCATTATAGCTTCTGGTAAGGCTAAAATGAACAGTTTTCACCTTGTGATTTTTTTTTTTCCCTGCTATTTTCATGTTGTATACACAGTGCAGTGAAATTTCAGACAAGACACGTGCTGGTTTCTCTTGGTTATACCCAGAACATACAGCAAATGTTGGTCTATTATGGTGACATCATTTGCAAATGCTATTCTGTTGTGTGGGTGATAATATAAATGTTGGTTGCACTTGATGCAAAATTGTGATGTTCCTTCTCAGACACTGCAGGCCCTGAAGAGTCTACAGGACTGCTTCTAAATCACGCATTCTGCATGCCTGTTTATTATGGGCAGGGTGATTTAAGGTTGATAGTTGGGAGTGGCTGAAGAAAATGTGGCTGCTGTGAGTCTGGAGTTGTTTTGCTTCAGAAACAACATTCCCCTATACCCTTTCATCTCAAAGGTTGCTATAAGTATGGGATGTAATGACAGCCCTGGCCAGTGTGATTGTTTGTGGCCTTCTTGACAGAGAACAAAGAGAAAATTGCTGGAATCTGAACCTTCTTAGCCAACCCTATGTTTTAGTGTGAAATTACCAGAAAGGGTTAATCTCTGTCAACAGCCCTGGGAATAGTCAAGCATCTTGCAAATTTGCTAATATCTTCCAAGCAGATTCAAGAGAAAAACCTTTTCAATGAATAATTTTAAAATTGAACTGGACAAAGCCATTACCCGATCCTTCCAAGTGCTTACTAGCAGAATGGAGGCAGACACAATGGAATAAAAAGCTGGGATGCAGGGGGCAATCCTGCAGGCATAGCAAACTGGGAGAATTCTCAGTCTTTTAAAAACACAGGGTAATTGACCTCCATAATAAGTGCCTGTTCCCAGTGGTGCTGCTGAGAATCTCTGGAGAAGGCTGGATTGTGATTTGTTTGGTTTTCTCTGATTTAATAAGGTGTTAGTTTTGTGATTCTTCCTTTTAGTCAGGGAGTCATACAGGCAGTTAGCCTTTGAGAAAATGCATACATTATTATGGGCAAATAAAAACAAAAAAGAAACCTTTCCACCCGTTGCCTGGCCCAATTTCCTTTCATTTCTGCTCCCCAGGTACCGAAGGATTGTGTCCAATAACTGCACAGATGGCTTGCGGGAGAAGTATAAGGCCAAGATGGAGAAGTGCCCTGGAAAAGCACCTCGAGGACTGCACATCCTCACCAGCGATGGAAAGTTGGTCACAGAGCAGGGGCACAATGCCACCTTCATCATCCTTATGGAAGAGGTGTGTTTCCAGACTCAGCAAGTCTTTCACAGCATGGCAGGACTGGTACTCTTTTCCCTTCATCTGTCAGGCAGCTAAGAGGAGAAGAGAAATCAGGCAACGTTACTGAGACCTGGTGGAATTAATGAGAGAGCTGTACGTGAAATGTAGAAGCAAATAATACTGTGTCAATTCATATGTGTATTTGCCTGGTTATCTTGCCTACCAGTGAAGGATGCTGCTGAAGAATGACCGGAGATCTGGTCAAAATCTTATTTTCCCAGTAGCTTCTTGCTGCTTCTAGTGAGCTGCAGTTTAGGGAGTTTGTGAGTCAGAGAAGGAGTCTTTATGCTTACCATTTCCCAGTTTCTGGGTTGCTAACCTTTAGTTCCATCTTAGGTGAAGCATTATTAGGAAAGGTTAAGAATGCTAGGAAGTGTTCAGGCTCATGGGAAGCAGTGAGGGATGTTTAAACATGGTTGCTTTGCAGTAGGAATGGAGCCTCCTCAATCCACCTCCAAGTTCCCCAGTGTGTATTTGCTTTATTTTTAATGTGGTAGGATTCCTCCTTTAGCTGACAGTAGCACAAACATGCAGTGCCATGCTGGTGATTGAAGCATCAAAATATTGAGGTATTTCCGGTGGTCTGAATCAGGTATCCCTCTGCTTGATGAAAACATACATTGCAACACTTGCCACTGTAGTCTTGTGGCCTGGTGGACAGTTAGATAGCTAAGGCATTTTGTATGCCTTTGTTTTTCTCAAAATATTTTTGCCTTTTCTGGTCTGTGATTTGATGTCTAGGGGTGTATGTGACTGCTCTGTTTGCAGCTACTGCACTCCCCTACAGGGAGGAGAGTAGACTACATTGGCCACCTAGACCTTCAAGAATATAAGGTAGTCTAAGCCTGAGCATGCTACCATGGAGAAGTATTTTTTCTTGTGATAGCTTATTACTATTATTATTTTTAAACACATACATTTCTATTAATTTAAAGACTTGTCCAGTAACTATGTGTTTCATTGGAACCACACTAATCTGACAGGACTTCTTTACATACTTCCTCAGAGATTCATGCTTGCTCTGGTTTTATACAAAGGGAATTTCCTGTCTACATGGCTGATTCCTTTATATTCTGCAGACTTGACATGGTAAGACGATTTGTATAGACACTAGTGAGTGGGAGTTCAGAAAAGAACAGACATAATCTAAAAATTAGGAATCTAGTAGTAATTTATTAAGGAATTCAAGCGTAACTGCTGTGTACAAAGAATGATAAACAGATGGGGAATAAGGCAGCAGTCAAAGTAGCTGAAGAGTGGAGCCTTTACGAGCTTCTGAGAATAGAGATGCTGCTGCACATATTTATGTGAGGGTGTTGACTCTGTCCTTTGTTGAAAAACATTTCATTGGAACAATTTTTGTCCTAAGGAAAGGGTATTTGCAGGAACACGTTTTTGTGGGTGTACAGCTTGCTCTACAGAGAGCTGTATGTTGAGTTTGTTTCTTAAAATAAAAGGTCATTTTAAAAGGGGAAAATTATAAAACAGCCTGAGATTTTGGGGAAAAGTATTTCAGTCTTTCAGTATGAACCTGAGACTGTTTGAAGGAAAAGTCAGCAAAACAAATGAGTTGTCATCAAAATATTCCTCAGCAATTGGAAGAAATCATTTTTGGAGAAATCTTTATTATTACATATCTTACTGTGATAGAGATTAATTCTTTCCTCACTTCACTTTCTCTGCACAGTCTGCTGGGCGTTTTGTTGCAACAGAGTCTTTCTCTGTGACCTTTGTTCAGCCCTTCTACTCCTGCAAACTAATCCTGACCAGCAACTTTGTGTTTAGCCACCAGTTCCTTTCTACCTCCTAGAAGGACATGCACCCACAGTATACTGGTGTGTGACTGACCTTTATGTTGTCCAATGATAAAATAATATTTTATTATAGTTACTGGAAAACAATATTTCTCAGGATTTGCACATTCAGTCTTAGTGTAGTTCACAGTGGTAATTCAGGATATGTGTGTGGCAATGACAAAGAAATGCACTGACGGATGATCTTGCCTTGTTTTTAGAGGTATGGGGCTGTGCTGTGACTTCTCTGCATATATATGCAGAAAAACATGAGGAAACAAGAGCCTTTTCTGCTTTTTGTTTGAGTTGGAGCACGAAGACTGAAGACTGCCAGTATGCTGTTAAAGGAGTTGTATTCTTGACCAGATCTGTGATTTTTTTTTTTTTACTTGATCTTTCCTGTATATCCTCAGCTCCTCTCTGAAAGCCTGCCCCTCAGGCTTAAATGATTGTTTAGGTGGCAGCTGCAGATAGTGAACTGTTTGGTTCCATTGTCTTCTGTTTATGCCATCACACAGCTTCCCTCTTTCGGTAATTACAAGGTGATGGCAAAGCTTGATAACAGGTTTGTAAATGCAAGTGAGCTGAGAAAGCAAGCAGTGACTATTCAAAGTACAAGACTGAGCAAGTATTAGAGCTCTGAACATCTATTAGTAGATTACTGAACCATGTTTATAGAAAGATGTAGCCACAGATGTGCCATATTTTTACACAGTTTGAGAGTTTCATTAGAGGAACACCTTTAGATTCAGCAGAAACAAGATTGTGTGCTTCTGAATGCAATGGGAAGAAAAATTTCCTCCCAAGCCTCTTCTGTGCCTGCTTTGCTTTGTTTCTGATCTCAGTACTCTGCCTGCTCTTCCCCGAGCTTTGCCTTTATGTGGGTTATTTGAGGTTTCATGACCAAAATATATTATTTATGTATACAGATAAGAAAACTTTTCCAGGGTCATGTTGGGGTGATGACTTTGGAAGGCCATTATGTGGCAGTACTCTTCTCCACCTGTTCCATACCATTTGCATGCCCACTGGTGCCTGCATACAGAGCTCCAGTCTTTGTGACAGCCCTTAGCTCAGAGCTTTTGGTAGCTTATGGGGCTTAAAGCAATAAATGTGCCTCTTGATTATATATAGAAAGCAATTAATTTTATCCATTTGAAATGTCTCCAAAAGCTTCTATTTTAATTTAAATTTACAAATTCCAGAATGTCTGACATTGTATGTGGGGCGAACACTTCTTTTATTATTTTATATACTGGATACAGAGGTATGGAAAAGAGAAAGAAAAAATTAGTGTGATGGGCTGGCTTTTCATTGAAGATTAAACTCTCATAATTAGGTGGTACTTAGCCACAAGAAGTCACTTCCTATTTCTCTGCTTCAAACCTTCTCTTTTCAAATAGAATCAAATTGGAGAAGCAAGGAGAAAATAGAATTGCATGGCAAGAGAGGAGAGCTCCTGTGATAGGTACTGGAGTGACAGCCCGAGGTCACCAGTGATGAATCCAGCCCAGATCTGACTTTTATCTTCTGTTCAGTGTCTTTCATATGAGATGAGCTTGTGGTCTTAGTACATTCCCTCGAGAAGTAGTTTTGAAGGGCTTAACAAGCTGTGTGAGCCTTTCTATCAAATAACTGCATATCCCAAGAGAGTAATTTTGTCCCTGTTAGAGATTGCTGTTGAATGACTTAAAAAGAAACCTCTCTATCGAAACAATGTTATTGGCTACTCAGTATTATAGATACAGGTTTTGCTGTTATTTCCACTCTATTTTTATTTTTTTCTTTTTGTTTCCTACTATAATTTTAATGTCCTAATAGGAGAGAGGTGAAAATATATGGTTCCTAATAAAGTCAATGGCAATATTCCCCTGGCCTGTATGAAATGGGAATGGTGGAGCAAGAAAGAAGAGATATCTAGCACATGTAATCAAATGCCCATATTTCAAAACCTACATAATAAGCTAGACTTTATGGGTATGTGCTTGAAGATTCCAGATGTACTGTCAAGGCAAAATCATCCCTTAAAATACCATTTCTCCACCCTGATTTGTTAATGCAGGCAAGACAGAATTTGTGCGGCATACTCAGGTCTCAAAGACCTACTGTAATGTAGTCTGGTCTATTGTCTGTGCTTCCATGTTTCCATCCAGACGATAAGATCAGGTGCACTTTTGAAACTGGAATCAGTAGCAAAACACTGCATCCTGCTTCTGTCAGGGCTGCCATTACTGTTTGTATAGAAAAAATCATTAAGGGCAGAGGGATTCATGGTCAGAATCCAGGCTGAAAACTGTGTTCTTCCACACCCAGGTAAACCTGAAAAGTACTGCTTAGTAGAAATCTGGTGCTGTCAGATCTAAAACTCTTGGGGACTGTCACAATGTGATTGTCCCTGTCAATGTCTTCACTTCATCTAATCTGTATATTTTATGTAGGAAGCCTACTCCAGAAGATAATGATAGGACAAAGGGGAATGGTTTTAAGCTGAAGGAGGGAAGGTTTAGGTTGGATGTCAGAGGGAAGTTCTTTACTCAGAGTGTGGTGAGGTGCTGGAACAGGCTGCCCAGAGAGACCGTGGATGCTCCATCCCTGGAAGCATTCAAGCCCAGGTTGGGTGGGGCCCTGGGCATCCTGGTCTAGTACCAGATCTGGAGGTTGGTGGCCCTGCATGTGGCAGGGGGATTGGAACTTAATGATCCTTGGGATCCCTTTCAACCCAACCATTCTGTGATTCTATGAAGCTGTGCTTTCTTTTGCACAACAACTGGCCCAGAGACTTTTGTGAATTCTGACTTCAGTGGTCTTTTCCAGCAAATGGAGGACTGTGCAGACTCTGACCTGCCTGTGAAGGGCTTGGAAGTACATCAGAACTGGCTGTGAGTTGGGTTACGTGGTTACTGCCCCTGCTTAGATCAGTATGGACTGGAACTGACATTAGCTTTGATGTTAACCCTGTGTGCTTTCAGCAAATGGGACTTATGAGATGGCTATGAAATACTTCCACATTTTCTTTAAAAACAACAACATTAAAAATAACAACAACAACAACAACAAAAAAAAAAAAACAAAAAAACAACCCTCACATACATTTAGAAGCAGAGATTTTTAATTTGTTGTTTTTTATTACTCAAGAATTGATGAGTGAGAACTCATCATCAGTACAGCTGGGATCATCTTTAAAAGGTAGTGGCATCTTTTTCGCCTAGGGTAAATACAGTGGAGCCCTTTTCCTGATAAATTATTTGAGCTAACACAGCTTGTATATATACAGAAAGCTGTACAGGTATTATCAGGGTATAATTTTATTTCACTTTAGTGAAATCACTGTGGTGGGCTTTAGATCTGTTTAAATTAGACTTGTTTTGTGTTACTTTTAGTCAGCTGAGAACAAATACGTAGTAAGACTCCAAGAAACTGAAATAACAGACACTTCTATAGTTCAACTATAGTGGTTTAAAACGTAATTTAAACTAAAGCAGTGCAGCTGCTGCTTCTAGACAATACCTGCAATGCTGGAATCTCTTGTCTGCTGTTCTCTCCTTCATTTAATAGCTATCATTGACAGTAATCTTAGTAGGGATTTTCTCATCTTCTCTTGCATTCTCCTGCATATCGCCGGGTCCAATCTCTGTGTTGACTGGCATTAGACAAAAGCTGTCAGTCATCTGTGTGGGACTCAACCTTTATAAATTCTGCCATCCAGAAGTTACATGAATTTCAGTCTAGCTGAAATTAGTTATCTAGACTTTTTATCATAGGGGTACAGAGATGGATATTTGCAGAAGATAATTCGTGTCACCTGTCTCAGTTATCTTAGAGTAGCATGTATTGGTCTGTTACCTTTCTTTTTCTCTTTTCCATTGACTATTCAGGAAGCCTGAAAACTAGGTTAGGCTAGACCCAAGTATGTCAGTATCATCAATTATTAATCTATCTCCAGAATGTTCCCAAGGCTTCCATTTACACCTGGGAATTGCATCTAGCAATTAGCATCCAGCCTCCCATCATTGTAGTGCCTCCCATCTTGCTGCTTCTGATGAAAGTGCTTGTTGGATGTCACCCATTCAGCAAAGGGCTGTGCAGAGTCCTGCCCTTTGCAGTGACACATAAACCCAACCATGCATTGTACCAGAAGAATCAAATATGATCCCCTTGATATATACATGTTTGACATTCTGCTTTCTCAAAATCTCTAAATCCAAGATGACAGAGTAACAGCTGCAAATGTTCAGCTACTCTAAGCATTAATGGTAAGTAGTTAGCTGGCACGGATTTGAATCTGGTCCCTTTTGGATCAGAATGAAGCTTGACTTTTTTTAGTAAAGTCATGACTTTGTGTCCACACTGATGAAATGGAGCTGAGCAGTGGGATAGAATGTAATATAAGTCACTCTTATCAGCCCAGTTCCCGAATCCAACCTTCTTTGTTGCAGGGTGATCTCCAGAGGACAAATATTCAACTTGATTTTGGGGATGGCATCGCAGTATCCTATGCAAATTTCAGCCCTGTTGAAGATGGCATCCGGCATGTATATAAGAGTGCTGGAATCTTCCAGGTGACAGCATATGCAGAAAACAGCTTGGGCTCTGACACTGCTGTCCTCTTTTTGCATGTGATCTGTAAGTACTTCCTCCTGCTAGATTCCTTGGACAAAATCCTAACCTCATTGAAAATTCTTGCAGCTTCAGAGTGCATGCAACCTCACATATATATATGCAACTTTGGGCTTATTTAATAAAGAGGAAGCATCTTTTAACAAAAGTGTATTTACTGTCTGCATATGCAGAGAAGAGCTTGAGAAGGATTTTGAAAAGGTCAGAGGTAAAACAGCATATGAAACAAAATCCAGATATGTGTTTTTAGTGTGCTTCTGATACCAAGAGATTTAGATTAACCTGCTGCATTTTTATTCAGTATTTATGTTTTCAGCACATGTTAAATAAAACAAAAATCATTGTGATGAGTGTATTTCCTGGGATGTGGATGTACGGAGAACTGCTGTGGTATTTGTGCTTCATGCATTTGACGTGCGCTTCTGACTTTCCATCACTGTTACATAGATGAGTCTAATTTCTCTCCACCTGACACACGAGCAGAATTGTAGAGCCCTTGACTGACCTTATCAAAGCCTCAGAAGGGAGGAGAGAACCCACGATGAGACCAGGAAGGTCTTGGTTCTTTGTCCTGCTATAAGACTACTAGGTCCCTTGGATAAGCAACTGATTCTGTGTTCAGATGTATCTCTTTGGTTGTGGTCTTAATGGTGCTTTGAGACATGTCTATCTTTTCCCATAGCCTGTCAGAAAGTATTCTATTCTGCCAGTCTTGTGCTTGAGCTTTCCCACTGGAAACAAGTCCGACAATTCCAAAATGTGAGAACTATTTTCTTCTTTTAAATCTCCAGCTCCCTGCTTGAAAGAATAAATGTTCCTTGAAGCTTTTATTATGCTCATAATTCCCTCAAAGTCAATCATGGCTGCATTTTACAACCTGTTATTAGAGCATTAACTGTTTTTTCTTCACCTTGGACCATTAGCTGACAAAAGTGATAGTTACCTGGTAATAACAACGAACTTTGTAAGGATTATCTGATTTTTCTCCCAGGAACTGCTGTTCCATGGTGAGAATTTTAGAACAGAATGCAGAAGAGGGGCAATTGTTAGGCTTAATTTGTGTCCTCTTCTCCCTCAGCTTCTCAGATCTCTCTTCTTTGACTTCTGTGGCCTTCTAAGATGGCCAGCTTATTATCATTATCTCTAGGGAAGTATTTTCCAGACATTTACATTTGCACTAACAGTGAGAATTAAAAAAAAAAAAAAAATAGTACTAGACTTTTAATATATTTTGATGTACTAGTCAGTATTGGAGGTTTGCCCTTGAAGCTCAATTGTACAGGCAGAATGGCAGCTATATAAATCACCTTTGGTATAATGTCTGTCTGGTGCTGGAACTTTGTGCTTTAAAAAAAAAAAAAGAGAAAGAGAAAGGAGCTCCTGGGCTTCAAGCAACAGTAGTTCTCTCTCCTTTAGCTTTAACAGAGAGCAGTCATCTTTTCACCTCTGTGGAATCTTCTTTCAAGCTGCTCATCCCCTCATTTAAATGGAGGCAAGATTTTAGCATTTTTCTTCTTACTGCACTGTCAGAAAATATTTGGGGGATCCTGCTCTTCATGGGAATCCTGTGTACTTTCTATAGGCAAATTTCAGGAATGACTTGCTGGTGGATCCCTTAGGAAAAGGGGAATTAAACTGAGAGCCAAAACCTAGAATATGGTTCTGTCCTTCGAGCTCTGTATTCTGGTGGTAAAGGAACAGCTCTTGCTTTGCAGTATTCTTGTCATCCAATTAGGTGAAGTAATTAATGTCCCCATTTCGTATTTGAAAAGCTGAGAGGTAACATAACTAGATAATCTCAGTTAAAATCAGCAATTCTGTGCTTCCTCGACTTAATATTTTATATTAGAAAAATCCTCCTTTCTTACTCATTCTTTCCTTTTCATAGTGATAGTCTATCAATTTGCTGTATCTTAAAAGGTACCATTCAAGAAGGACTCAGTAATACACCAGTTACCAGCTGGAATTCAGTATAAGCAAAATTGGCATATTTGATGAGGAGGAAGAAATTGAGATAGGAGGAAAAGTTTTTAAAAAACAAACCAAAAACCTAAATGTTTTTTACACTTTTTTGTTGCGGTTGGCAAGAGGAATTTTCTTCTTAATTCTGGACTTCTTACACTGGACTTATTCTGGACATTTGGTCTTAATAGATGTAATTTACATTGATGTTTGGTGTGTGTTTATGTTTTGGTGTTTTTTTGTTTGTTTTGTTTTCTTTTTACTTCTTTTTAAAACAAATTCTTATGATGTTGTAAAAAAACCCCTCGATATGCCAATGCACACATCTTTCAAGTTATTCCTGCCTTTTTTTGCTGCTATTGACTGGCTTCCCATCAGCTTTTCGAAGTCAGTCCAAAGTCAAAATGATACCAACATTTACTATTCTTGCCCCAAATCATCAATCTTTTTTTAAATACCTTCTAAAGAGGAACTGTGAGGGCATATTTAATCAACTCATAAACACCGCTTACATAGTCAGGTTTAAGCCAACTTAGTTAATGTGGTTTGCCTACTAATCTTAGTTAGCTCACTGGGCAGATTTTCAACAAAGCTCTTTCTCTCTTGTGTCCTATCATAGGATCATAGAATCTTTTGAATTGGAAGGGACTTTTAAAGTTCATCTGGTCCAAATCCCCTGCAGTGAACATGGGCATCTACAACTCCATCAAGACTTCAACAGCAGCCTGCCCTATCCTGTGCAAAACCAGTTTATTGTTATCCCTCAGACTGCATTTAAAAAAATATCTTCTAAACACAGTCCTGATCCTGTCTGAAGTTAGCAGTGTCAGAAGTGCACATTTTTGGTTCATCAAGAATTGAGTGGGGAAAAAAAAGGGTGATTTTGTTTATTAATTTAATGTCTTTTGCTTATTGGCTTCAGAAATTCTCTTGTATGTCTATAATAGCGCTTCACTGCTGACAGTGTTTTGAATCATTTAAGGGAAGAATCCTTGCTGTTTACAACTAAACTGGGAAGTTTTAACTCAGAACCTCTAATAATGTGTCACTTCCCACAGGTCCAGTGGAGCACGTCCATCTGAGTGTCCCTTTTGTTGCTATCAGGAATAAGGATGTCAACATTACTGCAGTAGTTTGGCCCAGTCAAGCAGGCACACTTACCTACTTCTGGTGGTTTGGTAACAGCACCAAGGTACGGTTGCCCTTTGATTTACATTTATTTGCTAAGCTTGTTGTACCAGACAGGGAACTCCCTTAACCCCATTGAAAACTTCATGTCATTGCTTATTTTATGTTATTTTCTTCTATTAACTTTCTAAAAAAAGGTTGTCATTACTTTAAACTTCAGTTCTGTGTATCTTTTTCCTCCTCTCTCACATTATTCTTAGAAGTAGTTACTTTTTTTTACATCTGGTTGTTATCTGCCCTACTGAGCTCTGAAGACCACTGTTATTACCAAAGTTCACTTGCAATGTAACTGAATTATATATCTCTATGTATGGGATAATACTGGCTTTCAATACTATTTAAAAACTGCCAGTGTTCAAATAACCATGGGTGTTTCCATTATGTACCAGTATGCTGTATATAACACTACATTCCAACACAATACTTTAAAGCTGTTGGTGTTCAAACAGAATCACACAAATAACCAGTTGTATCCAGAATTTCAAGTTAGAAACTCATGAAGCTCTGTTTGTGACTATTGTTCATATGCTGGATAGATAGATAAATAGATAAATAGAGATGAGAATTCTTTATAGGGAATGTTGAAGATGCTGGCAAAAAGTTAACATGAAAAACTTTTTCTATCAATAATTAAAGTAAATGAATCTACAAGTTGTGATTGTGTTTTCTAGTGGAGAGAGCAGAACTGCTTGTTAGTGACAGCTTTTAATGCAGGTTTCAGGTGTGAGACAGCTGACACAGGCACTATCCTCCATGAAAAATAGTGGCAGCACTGAATTGTACTGCCATTATTTTTCAATTTGGAAGATGCTTTTATTTACAAAAAGCAGATTAAGTCATGTCATTTTCTACTATATTGAAGGCAATCTAGGTGTCATAGTTATTCTGCCACGACTTTTGTCCTTAATGTAGAAGATTTTTTGAAATAGAAATTAGTATAGAAAATGTGGAGAAAACCAATTTTGTTTGCTAAGGATTTTCATCCATCTGCTGTGGTGTTTGGATCTCTCTTGTAAATAGGATCTGTTACTTAAGCTATCATCTAGTTCAAATTTCAGTAGAGTACAGGCAGGTGTAGATGTGTAGATGATTTGGACATAGCTGTATGTGGAGTAGTTAAAATTTTAATTCCTTGGAGTGGTTTTATGTGTTATTGAATTACACTGAGATACAGATCAGAGGAGATGGCTCCTCTTATCTGCAGACAATTAAAAATCCAGAGCAGTATTCTTTCTTTGTGTTCTCTCCAGCTACCTTGTGTATTTCAGTTGTGCTGCTTAGCTATTCTCAGTGTATAGCAATACGTGTAGATACAGCAGTAGATGCTTTATAGTTTTATTTTTTTTCCCCAAAACAGTAGTCTGAATTACATAAAAACTCCTTCTGCGATGTTTGATATGTGTCTCGTGAACAAACTGTGGCACTCAGTACTGGTCAAATCTGGGCAAGCTGATTTGTTTGTGAATTATGGGATGTGGTGTGTAATACTGTGCACAGTAACTGTCTGGCATTGTTATACTCTGATTCCAGTGCTGAAGAATAGCAGCTTCTATGTCTGATCAGCCCATAGACATCCCAAGCAAAACCATGTGTCTTGTGTCACTGTGCATTCTCATAGTGGTATTCTGTGCTGTTGCACAGGAAAATGTTGTCTTACACTCCAATAACCTGGCTGAGATCCTTCTGTTGCCCTCAACATCTTGCTGGAGTCGTTGTACTGAATTTCTACTGTACTAATTTTTGCAGTATACCCAAAGGCCAATTTGCTTGGATTAACACAGGTCCAGTTTAATAAATGTGTCCAGCTGTCTAATAGGTTGAGCAAATGAACCTTAAACTACTTGATTTAATTTAGAGTTGATTTCCAGGTCTTGGTGCCTGAATTAAAATTAAGGAGTTGGCTGAATGTTAAAACTCCATGATGGAGGTGAAATCAGCCATGATAATGGAATGTCCAGCATGCATACACACACAGAAGGGAATTAGTAATTTTAAAGACCAGATTGGTTCCTCTTTTCTGCCTTTGCACATAATCACAAGCTGTAACCTCCAAGTATATTGCTAATATCACTGAATTTTAATGTAGGTCTGTTCTGCTTGTCCAGGATGTGTATCTTAGTATATGTTAGCTGCAACTCCAGAGCTACCCCAAGCTGCCATCCCAGTGTTCAGATAGGCTTTTCTTTTACTGCTTTTTCAGGTAATGTATGAGAGGTCAAAATAAGGTGGCATTCTACAGGGGAAAAATCTCTCTGGCAGCCTGGTTTTATGCCAGTGAAAACTGATTTGTCTATGAATATGACATGTATAGTCACTGTTTTGAAATGCAGGCAAATTATCAGTCTGATGGGATTAAGTGTGAGAGCTGGAAAGTGAAAGTTTAGGATATTTTTCCTTGGAGACAAACTATCTGTTTGGAGAAGGGACAGCTGTAATGGTACAATTGTTTTGTCTGTGCTCTTAGACCTCTAAGTACTTTTGAAATGGAGACTGTATCACTGTTTCTATTGTAATGGTTTAATCCAAACAAGGGCTTGTCTATAGACCAACTGTCAGCTCAAAGGCGCTATCAGGGCAAGACCTTTGATTTTCAATAAGTGAATCTCTTTCCCTAAATGTGGTGCACTTTTCTCCTCTAGATGTGTATCTCTAAGAATTTCCTGTGCAAAGGGGATAGCTGTAATGCTATCAAGGATGTATTTGAGAAGATGTAGATAAAGTCAGCCTTCTCTGCCACCGTTTGGAACTAGCCAAATACTGCTCAGCTTTATTCTGGAAGCCATCCAGCTGCATTCAGACAGTAGTGTCTATAGGTGTTATGCCATGTTTTAAGTCTTCTTAACATAAATTGCTAGCTTTATAGCTGAAGGTGGCTTATGCCTTACGGACTTGACATGTGGGCAAGACAATATTTGGTGCCATTGCTCTGTTCTGAGCAGAGTTGCTTTGAGATAGATCATGGATTTGCACTTGTAAGTGAGAGCAAAGCTTGCTGAGCTGTTTGAGTTCTTGAGGTTTTGGGGAGCCCCTAATACATCCAAAGGTGACTTTGGACAGGGTTACTGGCCACATCCTCACCCCAAGTGACAGCATGGTGGTGCCTCCAAACTGTGGTCTCCCTGTCCAGTTATTGTCCTAGGCAGGTGTAATGGGACTAGCAAGGGTTGAATATTAGAAAAACTCTCTTTTCAGAAAGAGTGTTAAGGCATTGGAACAGGCAGCTCAGGGAAGTGGTGGAGTCCCCATGCCTGGAGGTGTTCAGGAACTGTGGAGATTTGGCATTTAGGGACATGATTTATGGACAAAGTGGTGATGAGTTGATGGCAAGACTTCATGATCTTGAAGGTTTTTTCCAACCTTAATAATACTATGATTCTGTGAGTGGTCATAGTGGTGATGGGTGAATGGTTGGACATGATTTTAGAGGTCTCTTCAAACCTTAATGATTCTGTGACTCTTAAGAGGGGCTGGTACTGAATCTGATGAGTTGTTTGAAGAAGTACTCTGTCTCTGGATTTCAGTCAAATGCTGATTTGAGTTGTACCTTCTGTTTTGGACAGCTGAGAAAGCAACTATGCTGAGTGTTCATGCTTGTGTGTTTACAATACTGCATTATGCAGCATTAATTCTGCAATCACTGGCTGTGCTCTGCTGAGGCATTCATAGCGTAATGAGTTGCAGTTCAGTGGAAAAAATTTTCAGGAGGTATTTAGTGAAGTGAGAGAAAGCTTAGTCTGTGGAATGGTCTCATTGGGTAGCATTCAGATCACATGCTTTTTGAATTGAGCAGAACACGCAGATCTGAGCACCCTGTATCAGCCAGGGGTAAGAGGATACTTTGGCCTGGTGGATTATTCAGCTGATTGTTGTGCCTAAGTTAATTGCATCCTGATTTTGATATTGTTGTTTTTGTTTCCCTTTTGCAGCCCCTCATCACCCTGGAGAGCAGCATCTCCTACATCTTCAGTGAGGAGGGGATGAACACTGTCACTGTGCAGGTTGCTGCAGGCAACACCCTCATCCAAGACACCAAGGAGATCGCAGTACATGGTAACTTCATCCATTTACAATGAGATGTCAGGGAACATATAGAAGTGAAGAACAGGCAGTTGTCGTTGAACCAAAATGAACTCTGAACTCCCTAGTGCCAGGAGGGACCTCCAAAGTAAAATGTTTGTTAGCTGTGAACAAAGTAGATCAGATTTATTGTAATTACTAAATGCAAAGTGAACTGAATAGAGAAACTAACTGCGTCTGTAAATCCAGCACTGTAGTGAAATGGCTGGCTTCTGCTTTGCTCTCATTGGCTTCCTGACTGGGAACTTTCCAAATAAAAAGCACTTTAGAATATAGGCAAAGCATCTCCCCTCTGTTTTCTAGTTGTGGAAAGAAGCAGACATGCTTCTTTCATATAGTCACTTTACAAAGGTGAAGAGTTTGGAAGAAATGGGACAGAAATGGCTCTGATGTTGGTATTTCTGCCCATATTCCATACCACAGCTGGAGGTTCACTGTGTGTTCACTGGACTTCCCTATGCATCTCGTTTGGTATGTTTGTGCTGTACCTGTACATAGGAGAATATTCTGCTGGGCTAGCCTTCATTTTACTTACCTAGTTTTTAGCATCTAGCATTCAAGGACAAGCTTTTCTTTAGGCAGCAAGTTTTATTGAGAAACCTGGTCTTCAAATAACTGAGGTTGCCCTATGTGGTTGAGCTGCGTGTGTCTTGTTTCTATAATTAAAGATAAATTTGCTGCTGATGACTTGAAAGCTGTATGTTCAGACTTAACCACCAGCTGAACAGATATTTATTGACTGCCTGGTTGTGCAATGCAATGGGTTTTTAATAATTTGCTGATATTATTTAGAAATATCCAAACTCAGTATTAGCAGATGTTAAGTAAACCTCTGCTTAAATATTTTGGGTATTGCAAAATGCAGTGTTTAGTTATGTGAAATTTGCAGCTTTCTACTGGTTTCTGGAATAAACTTAAATCAGGAGTATTCAAGAAGTGATCTCAATCTTTGTATACCTTTGCGAACTGAAGGTCCCAGCGGATCCCAGTGTCTTTCTCACTTTCTGCTTCCAAATACCCTGTAAGAAATTTTGCTGTTCTCTAAAGTATCCAAAGCTTGGGACTTTATCACAGAGTAATTCATGCAGTTGGAACATCCAAATAGTCCTATACACAAGCTTATGTTGTAAACTGAGCTCACTGAAGGAAGGAGTCCTTCCTCAACCCAAATCTGGTGATCAGTTCAAGTCTGAATACGTAAACAAGGGGCATCTTTGGTAAGCATTTGCTCTGCTAAAATTATGTTACCAGTTCTAATCTGTGCCCTATGTTAAATTACTATGGCTTTAAGCATGAGTATGCTTTTTTGGTGTTAGCAGTGAAGGAGATTTATTGAAGGTTTTCAAAAAATTGTAGCTAACAGTGCAGAATTTAGTAAAAAAAATAAAAAAAATTAAAAAAAATTGGATATTGTACTGAGAGTTCAAATGTCAAAAGCTTTGTATGTCAGGCTCTGGGGTAAGTCTTCAGAAATAACATGAGAGAGATTGCCTACTCTTCTGTACTTGTTTTATTTAAAAATATATTGCAGTGCCTAAAAAGGAAGAACAGAACTTGCAAAAGATGCAAGACAAATGCTGTGCTGGCACATCCCTGCTTTTCTGTGGATTTCCTCATTTATACTCTTGCTAGTTTAGCTTGATCTAAAGCTGGTACCTTCTTAAAAATGATTAATGGTACTTATTTATGTGTCTGCAGATCAGGTGCTTCAAGGTGTGACATAGCACATCCCTAGAAACAAAAAGGACAGTCTTCTACCCTGAGAATCTCTATCTGAGTGTGATTCCCATCCTGAACTTGTGTCTCCCACCCTCCTAAATTCATTGTTCATGTTGGTCATAAATGTTAGGCTTGGACTGTAGTGACACCAGAGAGGAGAGATGGAATTGGAGAAAATTTTAAATTGGCCTGAATTTGAAGTCTAGGAAGTTTTTCTTCCTTCTGCAATCAGTCAATTAGGAAGTAATTTCAAAGCATTTCATGAATAGCCATCACTTGATTACCCTGTCATTAGCACCACTGGGCTCTGATTTGTTGGGGAATTAACCATTCATGGCTTCCCTCCAGGAGAGCAAACAGATAATGGCTGCTTTTGAAAACATATTACTTACAGTATGTGTTTTCTCTGCAGACCATAGTGCATGTAATTACACGAGTTTCCAAATTTCAGGCAGATGCCATCTTATTAACTAGTTAACTTTCTTGTAAGCAGAACCTGAAGTTGAGTGGCAAAATTACTTGAGCCTGGGTGGCCTAAGACCAACATGAAAGGAAGACTTCTTCTCACTTCCCTTGTTTGTTACTTCCATTTCTTCTGGGAAAAGCCACAGGCTGGCATTAGAGCGAGATTTCTTTTTTAAGTACATTATTTGCAAATTTTCTGTCCTGCTTGGTGTTAGCCAGGATCTTTTCTTCCTTCACTCTTTCATCTCTCTTTTGCTTTAAGTCATTTTAATATGTGGGCTGCTCTAAAAGTAATGCCTCCTATTTTATTTTGTTGGCCCATGGTGTCAGAAGTGGATATTGGTGGTATGTCCATAGAGGTTGAACCTTCCATCAATGTTCCGTTACATGTTGCTGCTGTGTGATGGCAGTGGAGAGGCAGTCTGAGAGAATGGTGTCTGACGTGCTTAAGAAGCAATGGCATGTCACTGAATTTCTCCATGCATCAAAAAAGGCACCTGTTGACATTCATCAATGCTTGCTGGACATTTATTGAGACCAAACAGTGGATGTGAACGCAGTGAGGCAGTGGGTGCAGTGTTTTAGCAGTGACAACAGTGACAGTGGGTCACCTTCACTGTTGCAGATTTTTATGAGTGCAGCATGCAGGTTCTTGTTCATCGCTGATGAAAATGCCCAGCTAATCGTGGTGACTGTGTTGAAAAATAGTGTTTTGTAGCTGAGAATTTGCTCTATCAAATAGTATTATTGGGCTTTTTGTATCTGTTGTAGTTTCCATGGAAATAAATAGGAGATATTACTGAATCCACGCTTTTGGCTTTACCCTAAGTGCTGCCCATTCTCATCAATACTTTTCTTCTATTCCAGAGTATTTCCAATCTCAACTCCTCTCATTTTCTCCTAACTTGGACTACCACAATCCTGACATCCCTGAGTGGAGACAAGATATTGGCAAAGTCATCAGGAGAGCTTTAGCACAGGTAAGCTTCTGTTTCCACCTCTTCTGCCTGATGTAGAATAGGCTGATAAAGTATGCAGACTTTTTCAATATACTAGCTTTAAAGAGTGGGAAGAACTCAGTAATGAAGCTATCATTTTAAATCGACTGCTTCTTAATATGCTGAATCTTTTTATAGAGGAAAACTATATTGGGAGTTCTGTGGAAGTATTGTAATTACTTTTATTAATGTTTCTGTGGTGTTTTTCAGTTTTTAATATCCCTGAGGACTTTAGAAATTCCTGATGATAGTAGCATCACTATTATTCTTATTTTGCCAAAATCAATGTTACAAGTTGCACTGGTTTTGCCCCAAACATTTGGATAGTGTTATTGCGTGCAGTTTGACAGCTGATCCACTCCATCCCAGAAGACAGAGAGATGTAGTAATGTTAGGTGCATGAGGAAGATATTTTTATCTATTCCTAATACTCAGCCTTCCAATGGAACTAAGTATAGCAACTAGTGAATGTTATAAAGGTCTACTCCCTTTCCAAGTGGGGCAGAAAATGAGGATTCAGAGGGAAAATAAACTTATCTCTTAAAACACAGGTCAAAGAGAAGCTTCTGAAGATACTCAATCTTCCTTTGGGATTAATTAGAATATGTAAACTAGCACTCAAATTCTTGCAGGAAAGCAGACAGAATATTTTATGATATCAAATAGCCCGGGATTTTGGTTTTGTGTGAAATCAAGAAATAGATATGAGCAAGCCTTTGTGTTTTTTTACTTTCTACCAAAATGTATCTTGCTTTTTTTTTTTTCTTTCTTTTTTTGATTCAGCTACATCTGTTCTTAGAAATGGTGACTGATTATTTTTATGAAGAAAGTGCATTCCTGCTTTTCTCATCTGCAGCCTACTCAAAATTCACAGCTTATGAGAGTTCCCTTGATTATTTTCCCACCCTGAGAAAACACTTATTTCATTTGTTTTAGCTGGTCTTCCATTGTAATGTATTCAAGTCAAGTTTGTAGAGAAAATAAATGAATTATATTGTAATAACAGTAACATCAACAATAGAAAGCATGTAGAAATGCTTGTCTGTATATCGTTTTTTGACTGTTCAGTTGCAACCTACAATCTGTTCTTATAGGACAAATCACCAGAAGTAGGCTGCCCCATTGATGTGTTTCATTTTCTTCATATGTAGCAAATGTAGATCCTCATAACCTGTTGTTAGAAGGTGATTGCAAGTAATTTTCATCACATGTCCCTATAAGTTGCATGCTTATCAGTCTCCTTGAGTCTCTGGATCTGACTTTGCATTATTCTTTTGTGGTGAGGGACTATATGGAAAATACATATATGAAGAGATTGTAGGTTTTGATTTTGGACTCTGGGTTGTGATCTTTGGGCACATGGATGTTGTCCACACTATGTTTACTTCTAGAAATGACAGAGAACATCATTAGCAGAACCTCTATTTTAAGACTCACTCAGTGGGTACAACAGTTCAGCTATAGCAGAACTGACAAATTACAGTTTGATGGGAGCGTAGTTTCCCATAGTGAATGGAAAAATCAGCAGTAGAAGAGCAGCTAGAGACCACCTTTTTACTTTTTTTAGGTGACCGGTATTCCTGATGAACAAATCTTGGTAGCTGTATTTCCTGGGTTGCCTACTTCTGCTGAGCTCTTTGTGCTACCCCGTAAAAACACTACAGAGAGAAGGAAAAGCAGTGAGGCTGATCTGGAACAGGTAAGGATAAAAGGGTTCACAGATCATTTATTCCCATCGTAACATTTACAGATGGACCCCTTAACCTTTTCAGCACAGGAATTGACTTGCAATAGTTGTGATGTAACTGGATGCACGTTGGACTGTGGCAGTATAGTTTATACTATTAAAGAGGTATAAATTTCACAGGGAAAATTGGATTTCCAAGCTCCTCACTGAGATGCATCACAATCTACCAGCAGTGGTTCTACCTGGATCAGTAGTGTGCACTCATTAAAGTAGTTATGGCCAAAGGAACCTTGAATATGTACTCCCTCCACTCCTTGGAGGAATGCTAATAGACAAAGTCCAAAACAGCAAGATAATACACTGAGGTTTACTAAAAATAAATCAAGCTCTTCAGCTTGTGTATCACGGGAACAAGACCTCTTGATTCTGAAGCAGCACATGGTGTGTGCAAACTGTATTTGAAAGTTACAATATCCATCCATTTAGATAAATAGGTAATTACAGTGATGAATAGCTACAGTGATATACAGGCAAAGGAAGAGCTAGGAACAAGAGCACTAGTCTGCTGAAGCTTTTTTTTTTTTTTTTTTTTTTTTGCTAGAATTACCAAGCAGTTACATCAAATCTATGAAAGCAAAGGAGTGAAGCAGTGTTGAAAAAGCTGCTTTACTCTAGCTGATGTTCTTGTATGCACCATTCCTACTGTTCTACTATGTGGAAGCTATGGATAGCCCATCTCAAAGTGCCTATGGGAGTAACTCTTCTGTGATCAAACACTGAATCATTCGAAGGATTCCTGAATTCCATGGAAGTTGTTTTCACCCACTGAGCAAAGTTAGCCCCCTCAGTGTAGTATGTTTGTTGTAGAAAGCTAGCAAAACTGCATTCTTAAATTAATGCTTTTAAGTGTGCACAAAGGAGAGGCATAGTAGAAGGAAGATTTTGAAGGCTATTTGGAGAGATTTTCTTGGAATTGTTTCTGTCCAGTTCAGTTGGGCCTACTCCTATTAGATTGCTCTCTGAAAACACAGTTGTGAACATTTTTCATTTATCAGTATTATGCAGGCATCTGATTGCATTTCTGACCTAGTTGACCATGAGCTGTAGCTCTAGTGGTCTAACTGTATTTGACAGTCTACTCAGTTGTGCTTTGGAACCTGTTAATGGCTCCTACTTGAGGAGTTCTGCCCCAACCATCAGAATTACTTGGTGGAGACCAGGCACTAACAAGCTCAGGCTCCAGGTGACATGATAAATACATGTTGTGAGGCAATCAAATAATACATCACATCTGGCTTGCTGAGCTGTGAGTAGCCTCCATTTCAAGGCCCCTCATCTAAATGAAGGAGAAATACAAAAAGTTTGATATCACTGGGTAGTAGTATCCCAACAAGGATACAGCAGGAGCTACATGACTAGGCTTGACCTGAATCAAAGGGAGCAAGGCGTTGTTAGTAGCTCAGTTCCATCACCCACTAATGAGAATATCTCAGTGATTTCCAAGTGTGTAAGATCCAGTTCACAGGACATAATAGAAGATGAGAAGATCCTTAATTTCTCTTCCACACCATATTCCCATTCTTGCCTTGTATTCACCGGAGAATTATAATAACACTCTGAGCCTCAAAAGCGTGTCTGTCCTTTAGGGAGACTTGAATTCAATAACACTCAGTTCCATCTGAAGCATGTGCATGTCTCTCTTTACTTCCTCAGTTTTCTCACATACCTTTCTCTTCCCTGTTTTCTTCCTTTTCTTCGTGAAGACAGTAAAAGAAGTATGTAGCCTACAAGTGGTGACTAACATTTCTGAACGTTCTCCTGAGCTGGCTCTCTTCTATATTGTAACCTATATCTCTTACTATTTTCTCAGGTTGTTGAAATCCTTTTTAATGCTCTCAATCAGAATCTGGTCCAGTTTGAACTGAAACCTGGTGTTGAAGTCATTGTGTATGTCACTCAGTTAACATTAGGTGAGTGGAGTAAAAGGCACAACTGTGGTTCTTTAGAGGATTCGTATGGCTCCAGGTGAATGGGTTTACACTACAGCACTCAACAGCCTAGAGTGAAGCTCTCAGTTATTGCTGAGATAATGATGGCTGTACAGGAGATGAAGTTTTTATTTTGCCCTTGCTTTTTATGGCTGCCCTTGCAGTTATCTGAAGTGTGGGATCTTGTGCATGTGACATTGCTGATAGCCTCTCTGGAAAAGTGAAATTCATGTCCTAGGATAAAGCATGTTAGCTTCCTTTTACTTTGAGACTCTCAGAGAGTCAAGATTTGGGCAAAACCAAGGCTCACATCCTGTTCTGCAGATTATGTGTTTGTACCTTTGCTTTCTGATTGTTGTTTGGAGGTGAGAGTTAGACTTAACAGAGATGGTCTGAAAGGAATTAATTAACAAAACAGAATTTCTGCACTCTCCAGTTTTGTCTCTGGGTTTGTTCTAGTAAGACACTATAAGTGGGGGTGCTGCATCTGCATTTTGTTTTGTGACCATTCCCATAGGTTTTTTAGTGAGTGAAATAAGAGTCAGTTATTTTCCAAGAAAGAGTTCATAGAAGTAGTGGAAGCAGAATACTGGTAGGATCAGAATCCTAAATGTGAAAAGTTGCAGTTAGAACCAGAGAATTATTTGCAGAGAATTTGTCCCTGTTATCTAAGTGACAGAAAAATAATAGAGAACAATAGAGAAAAAAAAAGAAAAAAAAAGAACCAAATAATATTTATGCAGTGAGACATGTTCAGACGCTACTTACGATCATTTGCACATTATTAGAGTGTTCTCATCAGACTTTAATAGTTCTCAGTCCATTAAGACAGTGTGTTCCAATGAGCTGTAGAAATAGCTGCACAAACAAGGTTTTATAATACACTTTATTTACTCTGCCAAAAGCGCCAAGGATGGGTGGATCAAAGATCCAAAGTGTAGCACCTGCTTGGGTCCAGGTTTATTGATTTGGGCTCCTTTACGATACAAAAAATGACTGAATTAAAAGGTAACAATTAGATCTCATTAGAAGGAGGAGCCTTGGGGCTTCTCAGAAGACCAGGACTCTTACACATGTGAGGCAGACGTGTCATTGGAAGATGAGACCCACTCTGAGATTACTTCTCCGAAGGAGAATAGGTGTCTATTAAGTCAAACTTCATAAATTTCATTTCTATTTCTGTCCCTTGACAAACGTAAAAAGAAATATCTCATTGTTAACACAGGATCAACCATTCAGCTGAGCATGGCTTGCTGTGCCTTTTCACTAGGAGATGTTAGACTGCATTGCTTTGAAAAAGGAATGTGGTTTTCAAACTATATGAGAGTCAATTAATTTTATACTGATTGGCCTTGATGGAAGCAGCATGCACCATGCAGTGGTGATAATAAAGCAGATGTGACAAAGACAAGGTGAGCTCAATTCTCTGGTAGTTATGTGTTTGCTAATGTCTTGCAAATGTAATGCTCTGCTTTTCCTCCTGCAGCACCCCTTGTTGATTCCAGCACAGGTCACAGCAGTTCGGCGATGCTGATGTTGTTGTCTGTGGTGTTTGTAGGCTTGGCTGTTTTTTTAATCTACAAGTTCAAGAGGTAAGTTGAAAAATTGTGGAGGATAGGAGGAGGAGATGCTGGGTGGTTTACAGGAAATTT